ATCATTTAAATCTTTCTTGGGAGTTATATTAATTTTTCTCTGGACCAGGTTCCTTCGGCATTTCATATTTGTGTATGGCGCCCTCTAGTGTCCAGAAGCTGTAGTCTCTGGAGCTGCTCAGCCCCTGAAGCAATGTCAGGGGTCTCAGGGGAGTGAAATTGGTGCCTGGTAGGAGGAAAGAGCTGTTTCCTGCTTCTGGGCTGCTATGCCTGTCTCCACTGCCTGAACCAGTGGGCCAAGCACACAGGTATAAGCTTTTGTCCCAGATCATCCAGATATGGATCCCTGCTTTCCACAAGCAGCTGGAATCTCAGTCTCTCCAGGAATTCTCCCTGTCTTAGCTTTCCAATCCTGTAATCATGAGAGTATCATGAAAGCACCATGAAATGTAGGTTTGTGCTCCCAGAGCAGATCTCCGGAGTTAGGTATTCAGCAGTCCCTGGGCTCCACTCCCTCCCTGCTCAGTATCTCTTTCTTCCACCAGTGAGTTGGGGTGGGGGCAGGACTTGGGTCCCGCCAGGCCACAGCTTTGGTACATTACCCTCTTCCTTGAGGTCTGCTCTTTTCTCCAGGTGTATGCAGTCTGTCACAGTCCTCTTTCCTGTTGCTCTCTCAGGATTAGTTGTAGTAATTATATTTTCATATTATATGTGGTTTTAGGAGGAAGCCCCTGTCTCAACTCTCACACCTCCATCTCAACAATTGCTGACTTATTTTCAAGAAAGGAATCTTTTCAAAGGATATTTTGTTTCCTGTGCCATTTTCTGCTCTTTTGGGCATGTATTAAGGGATTCAATGTCATCTGTTGACCTATTTAATTTACCCTACCCTGCTTCCCTACATATACTCTTCACTGAATCTGTCAACTCATCTTCCCTGGAAAAACCACATGTGGATTTATTAACTACCCCTCTAAACACATGTGTATATATACACATTTGTCACTTGCAAACCTTGACTCAGCTGTTACTGTGAAAAACTGGTTAATTGTCTCAGTCATCAGTCCACATTAGGCAAGGATGCCATCTCTTGCTTTTTGGTTCCCTTGTACCTATGAGTAGTCCACAAATGACTGTTGCTGATAAAAAGCTGCTGATCTAGGTAAATTAAGTACTCTTGAATTATTGCAGAATTTTAGAGAATAAGAGCTCTGTCTGAACTGATGGGTCAAGTAGTAAATTATCTTGTAATTCTTACTTTAAAAAGTGCTTATATAAGCTTTGACTATAGAATAGCTACATTTTTCTTGATAGCTACATATAAAAGCCTTCAAAATATATTGTAGCAAAGCTGTGATTATTATTTGACTGTGAATAAGAAAGGGAAATTCTGTTTTTAGAGATGTACCTAGTTTAGACAACCTAAGAATATCCCAAATTTCATTTCAAATTTCCCATAGGCATTAATGGTTTAATTGTGCTTTATCAGTGGAGCAAAAGGTGTAGAGTATGTTCTCGATAATTTTGAGTAGTGTTTCATATTAACATAATGTTGAGCTGATTCATCAGGTAGTATTTATGTTGTGTAGAGTAATAGTTGTATACAAAAATAGATGAAATTATAAGCACTTAAGAGGTTATTTATGGAAATTAAGGATCAGTTATGATCTAAGTACGGTATTGGATTGGCACCTGGTAAACCTGTAATCTAGGACCAGCTTAGCTGTGTGACTTTGGAGAGATCACTTGACCACTCTGGTCTCTTATTTCCTCAGATGTGAAATGAGTGGATTGGAGCAGATGACCATACAGTACATTAGCTTCAAGAATATGTGCTGTGAATTATTTTTATTAGGATGGTTTTGATGTCACATGGCAACTTGAAGATAAATCCAATCATGAAATTTTCATTTATGGTGTTATTCTCCATTCCAATCATAATTGTGTAGATTTTCTATCTCCGAATATATTAGAGTAAGGGTTCAGCTGTTTGTTTCTTTCTCTTCACACAATTTTAGGGCAAAACAAAAAATACTGGTTGCAAAATAGTAAATGCAAAACTTGTTACATTGTTATTTTGGGTCACAATTTAAATTAGGCCCAAAACCATTTTGTCATACACATATGACATAAATGTATATGATTTTATTCATTTGAATTCCTGGAATCCCATTATTAGTGTAGGCAAATAAAATGAAATCTTAAATTGCAGGTAGAAAGCTTCCAAGAGAGCCGTAGGACTTGGAGTTTGTATTTCTATTTTCATCTAGATTCCATTTTATTTTATGTTCTCATTGTACATTGTCAGGTAATGGAACAGGTGAAGTAAATTGTTTTGAAAGTTTTAAAGGTGGAGTGAGCAATATCAGTCTTTTATTTAAGTGGCCATTTTCAGGCTTTTTATTTTTTTGAAGCAATACAAAATCCAGGTTAAGATTTGCAGCCTCGCTAATAAAAATCCAAAATATCATTCATTGCATGTTGCCCCAGAAAGGAGATACTGATGGCTGGCAAGTTGGCATCAACCTTAATGAAGTGGTTCTTAGCCATCATTTGTGGAAGTCTCCAGTACCTCCTTAAAAATCAGTTCTATAACCATGCAAAATACAGAGTAAATAAATCTCAATAAAAAAAGTATCTATTACCATCAGAGCATTTTCCTTCCTGTCTGCCTGCTCCTGCTTCCAAGTGAATGATGATGTAGTTATTTGGACTGATGGCATACGGTGAAAGCAGGTGCTGGAGGAGAAGACACTCACATCTCCACCCCGGCATTTTCCCTTGAGATGCCAGATGTGCAGATAGCAATCACTTTCATGATTCATCCATCTATCTCCAAATATAGTAAAAGCATTTATGTGTCAGACAGACCTGGGAACACAACTTCCCTCAAAAAGCCTCAGTTTCTTTCTTAGTGTAAAATGGAGTCACATTGTTTCTGGGCCTGGGTACAGGGCTGGTCAGTGTTAATCGTTTCCTCCCTAAGAATGAAACTGTATGCTCACAGTGTGAGACAGTCACCTCCAAGGTCTGTCCTCCCTCCAGAAGAAGCCCCGGACAAGGACAAAGAGGCATGCATTTGTGAGTTCATGTTCAAAGTGCATTTGGAGGCAAAGCAAGCTAAGATGCCTATTTTGTATTATTTTTTTCCTTCTTAACAAGAGTTTCTGAAGCAGAATGTGTCTGTCTCCCTGCCCAGTTATGAGGTGTCTGTGAGGAGGCCACATTGCTTCCTGAATGCTTTTGTCAGCTAGAAGGACTGGCAAGGTGGGTCAGGGATGCCGGGTTTGGGCCAACAGAGCCTCCCTGGGGGCTCCTGGCTAGTGGCTATGCACAGACTTCTTGGGTTTGCTTTCCATTAAACACACAAAGCTTATCCTAGAGTTGGTTTTTGTTTTCTTTTAGAATCATCTTGAGGTTTACTAGGCCACCTATATTAGAAATGAGGCACTGGACCTAATTTTTTCCCAGGTATATTAGGCAATATACTGTGTCTGTTATTCAATGAAAATCACTCTTTTTAATGATACTTTAAACATTTATCACTTTTATTCTCCAGAATAATTTTTAGTCTGTGTTCTTTCCTTCAGAAATCCCCAGTTGGACATCCAGAGCCGTGGAAGTTAACAAAAAGTCTTTAAGGCCTGAAAGGGAAATAAAAGGTAATTGCACATTAAGAAGTATATTATTAAATTCATGTACAACTCTGATCATAAAGTAAATGCAGCCTTTTGTTTGTGGAGCAGAGATCTCCCTCTTTTCCCACCATTTCCTCTCCTTCCCTCCCACTCCTGCCTCCATCTCCTTCCCTTCTCCTCTCTGCCTGCTTACTCTCCTCCCTTCGTCCCTCCCTCCCATCCCCCACTCTTGTCATGTCCATTCAGCACACACATGTGTACTCTGTCCGGTGCTGATCATGGCTAAGGTACACACACTTCACCCCTGTTCCCAGGCAGCAATCACCTGGGTGCAAATGACCACCCTCCTGACCACCAGGTCTGCTGCCAAGACTCAGAGGCTAGTCTTAGCTCCCACCTCTGGCTCTCACTCCCCTTGAAATGCAGGCCCTCTTTGAAGTTGCCTGGGTATTTGCTTGCAGTGACTTTTTGTGAATTCTGTGCATATTTAACCTCCCCAGTCTGAATGATCACCATCAGAGCCACTCACTGGGATAAGTCAAGTGTCAGTGACTTAGCACACTTTGTAAATATTCTCACTTGGCATGAGACATGACATATTTTCTCCAATCACTAACATAATACATATATTGCAAAAAAAGGGCAAATGCTACAGATCTCTAAAGAATGTGACTATGTACACTGAAGCCACTCCCCAGAAACAATACTGGTTAAATTTGGGTGCACACACCTTAGTCATTTTCCTCTTTGTGCATATACTTGGGTAGTTAATAAAGGCATTCAGTCTGTAATAAGTGTGTTAACTCCATGGTGAAAACGTGGGGCAAAGATGGGTTCAAAACTTCTGCTAAGTAAAACACCTTTGTTCTTGTTCTTGGTCCTTGCTAATTAAAATGGCAATTTCTGGGTGCTGGGAGCCACTGCCACCCATATACTTCATTCATTTTGGTGATATTTTGTGGTCTCTTTGCAAGAGCTGTGCTTACCTCCCATTGCATGAACTTGCATTAGTCATTCCAGTATTCCCTGAGGAAGCCAGGTTCAGGTGTTGCCCAGTCAGGGCAAGCACCCTTATCTGGGGGACTGGGTGGGAGTGGTGAGCTTCTCCCTAAGCAGAAAGCCTCTTCTGTAGTACTTCCACTCCAGTGTGGCTTCTGGAGACAACAGTTTCATTTCTTCCCAGTGCCTGTCCATCCTTAAATTTAGGGTGGCGAATTAGTAGTTGTTTGCCGGCAGGGTGACTTCCTCTTCCTGCCTCCTTTCCAAGATTTCGCTCCCTGACTGTAATTTCCTTTACCTTTGTTAATCTTACATACCCTTAGAATTGGTCCCCTGCCCCCACTTGGTGCCCTCACTCTATCTGAACACAGCTGGCCGTGAGCCCAGTGGCCCAGTGCCACCATTTACTCACACTGTCACCTGCTGAGGCTGGCCTGGCTGGTGGAGCTTGGTAACTGAGGGCTAGTGTGTTTGGGCACATGGTTGGCCACAGTAACTCAGTAGTTGATGACCACTGATTGGACTTAGGACATGTGTACAAACAAGGGCTCTTTATTCTGGGGTTCCTTGTGCACCGGTCAGGTAGAAGCCCTGACCTTTAGTCACATGATCCAAAGACTATTGAGCTGTGCCAGCTTGGAGGCAAGACTTCAGTTTCCCTGTTGTAAGTTTCTTTAGGGAAACTTAGGGGAAAGGGTCCCAGCCAGATGTATGAGTTGACCTGTGGATTAGGGGGGTCCAGCTCTGGCCAGCCAGCCCTGGCCTGCTTCCTGGCTGATAGGGGGACAGGTGGCAGGCCTGGAGAGCCAGGCTCTTCGGGGTTGGTGTCAGGAGGATCTGGGCTAGCATCTGGGCTCTGACACGTATGTCACGTGTGATGTTGGAAGAGCTATTTAGTCTCCATACCCAGTGTCTTCATCTATCAAATCAGGACAATAGTAGTAACCCATCACAGGATTGTTGTGGGCTTTCAGTCAGTGAGTTGCTATATAGATTGGCACACGGGAAGTGTTGGACACCTGTCAGTAGCTTTGGTCTGTCATCTTATTCAGAATGGAGGTGATATCTACTTCTCATGGTTACTATAACACTAAATGGGGGGGTGTATATAAAATACATTGTGCCGGGTGCATATTGCACTCGTGGTAGCCCTCAGTGATAATGGTGAAAGGACAATGGAATTCTCAGCAAACGTGTTCAGAATGGGACAGATACCAGGGCCCTGAATGTGGCTAATGTCTAACACAAGTAGGCAAGAACTGCTACTAGTTCACTTTGTCAACCAGACAGTACTTATTTGTTGATGACTCATGTCTAAAATCTCATCATTTGCCTATTAAATCATTGTCTACACTTTGGTCACAAAAGTTAATTCATAAAGGTGTGGTTATGATTGACTGTTGGAGTGAATAATTAAGAGTTAAAATTTATATACTGCTCTAATCTTTTATTCTTGTTAGTGTCCATTATTTAAATATAAAGGGCAGTACTTTCTTGGATTTTTATGAAATTTTAAAACTAACTGAAGAATAAAGGTATTAGATCTTGAATAACATTACAGTCCACTGGCTACACATGTCTTTTCTCATAGTATATATGTGTAATTATTTTGCTCTCATTAGATACTGCCTTTCTTTCTTCATTCTTAAATGCAAAGTCTATGACAGTATTACCACCCATGCTATATATGGTTGTTCCACAACTATGAAAGGGGGAAGCACCCTGAACTCTAACAACCTTTGTTTCTACTATATCTAAAATAAATGAGGCCTGTAGGAAACCTTTGACATTCTTTTCCCTATACTTTGAACCAAAACACATTTGAATCATTAGTGTATGAGAGAATTTCTTATCATTTGTTTTACACATCTCCTTTGGTACACTTAAAACATGACATTATTTGGCTTCAAAATATCTTTTAAATAAAAGAGTATATAATTCAAGTGACTGTGAGGCACCTTAGAAAGTGAGTGTATTTGAACCCTTCTGGTGATAGAGACCCACTTTGTTATCTTTGCATGGGTGCCTGGCATCAGGCCTGCTCAGTGAAGATGGGAAATGAATGGAAAATTCAGCAAAGGAATTGGAGAACTGAAAACCCCTTTGTTAGAACACTGAGAATGTGACAGCTTTTCAAGTTTACCTTTGGCATCGCTGTAATACAGTTTAAACAAAGTGAAGACATTTTGGGGGCGTGGTGTTGCATGTGTACTTGAACAGTGTTACTAGCTCTTCACTCTGGCCAAAGTTTAGGATGCTGATGGGCTGGAGTCTTGTCGTATCTTTCCTTCCACCTCCCTTCCTGCTGCCTCTCTCTCCTGACTCCCACTCCCCTCCTTCCCTGCCTCTCTCCTCCCCCACCTCTTATGAGACAGAACTTGAACACGGCCTTGCCTTCCCTATCTGCCCTCCCCACCTTCTGCATTCTTATGTGGTAGCCTTGAACAAGGCCCTATCTGCCCCTTCTCTCGTGTTCCCTGTGCAGCGGCCTGGGCCACTTCGGAAGTCCTGATAAGAATTCAGCCTACTAGCAGTAATGCTGTGAGCAGTAATCATACCCTTGCCCCTGCCCTTTCTGCTTTCGTAACTTGTGTCCTAGTGGACCTCTCTCCATATGTCAGCCTCTCTGTTGGAATCCATGGGGGTACATCTCTGATTCTGATTTAAATCTACCTCTTAGAATAGTATTGCCAATGCCCTTTGCTACATATTTTCTCAGCCAATTTGGGAAGAAAACATTCTGCTTCCGTTAACATCACTATTTTCTGGCAGAGAACAGTATCCGAGTGGTGCTTCACAGAAAAGACTCAGTCCAAAGTTTTATGTTCTGTTTGAAATACTTAACTTTCTTATCTGTCAGTATGTATTCCTTGTGATAGAAGTCTAGCCCTGTGACTCCTGAACTTGCTGAGTGCTCTTTCCAACAGTAGACATTACCCTCTTTGCATTATAATTCAGTTTTTTTGGACATTTGCACAACTTTAAAATTGTGATTTTGTTGATGTGGTTGCACATAAGTTATGGTTTGTCCTGAGGTTAAACAGGTAAAAATAATGCAGCTACTTATCAAAATGTGTAGCCATGCCAAATGAAGGTTTCTGGAAACCTGGAAGTAGTTTAGTTTGCTTCCCTGAATAGGATAAATTACTGAGCCCTGCCCACTCCCCACCCCCCAGTCCCCTTCCTAGACACACAACCCTCAGAAGTAATCTTTGGTTTCAACTCTCATTGAGAGGTATTTGCTTTTGGTGTATATCTGACCTGACTACCCTCAAAGAGCAAACCATTTAAGCAGGAGTATATTTTAATATGCAGCAATATGCAGTCCTTCAAAGCCTAATTTGAACTTTTCTTCTCCTAGTACTGAATGTCCTGATTTTTTGAATTTCTGTAATGGAGACATAGATTTTCCTAGTCTGAATTTCCCTGGTTGATATCCAGTCATACTTAAATTTATTTATTTATTATTACCTTTTCTTATTGTTTAGAAATCTGCTGTTTTGGGTTTGAGACTATTAAATTACTGATAGATTTTTCATATATTAGTGACACTAATGTACAAATATGTTAAAGTTTTTGCCTGCTTCGTTTATAATCCTAGGCTCTGGTTAACCTTCAATGAAACCTGTTTTCTACAATAAAAGAGCTTTAATTGCTCCATATGATTCTCTTAAAAAATAGCACTTTTTCAGGTGTTCGTACACATATGTGTAATTCGGTTTTCTTTCTCTAAAGGCGAATTTGTTTATTTTATTGATGTAAAGTGTTTCCAATTCAAGTTGCACATTTCAGTTGAAAGGAGGCAGCTCCGTTATAATGAGAAGTACTGTTTTTAATCTTTTGCAGTGAATACCATTCTTGGCTATGTTTTCTGACTTGTTTCCCAAGTTAATTAGAACTGGAAAACAGCTTCTTTTCTCTCTCTCTCTCTCATTGTTCAGGGCCCCCTCATTGTCCTGATTCTCCTTCTCTCCCACTGCAGTTAGCACTGCATCTCTGAGGCTGTTCCTCTCTTTGGTCTCCGT